ATTGCCCACACTTATAAAAATAAAATAAATGCTAAAGCAAAAGAAAGAGCTAAAAAAAAGAGTAGAAAACCTCAAGCATGAAAATACAAAGATTCAGAAGTAAGGTTGCACACCTTGGGGGCTTGTCTAGGGTCTTGAGCCTTTATCCCCTTCTTCTTTAGCCTTTAGCCTAACCACGTTACAACCCTTAAAAAACCTTTTTGAGGTATACACACTTGTGCGAGGTTTGGCTAGAGCTACGTTCGGCCTGATTCCTAACGGATACGTAGGCAACCTCACATCGAGGTGTGGCCGTAATAAACATGCATTCATATTCACATTCACACACTTGCACCATGATCATATCAAGGGATCTCCAATGCTCATCCCTATTCATTTAGAGCTAGACTTGGGGGCTTGATCCCTACATCATTAGCTTACCTAGCCTAAGAGTCACCACCATTTGACTCTTTTCAATAATATATTTTTCCACACACTTAGCTCTTGCGGCCTAACTTTAGTGTCACTATCACACACATCACACATACATGACCAAATATATTTCCCTTAGGAACCCTTTGTCATGAAATCTTAACGTTGAAGCATGCCTTGTCGCATCACTCATCACTCATAATTGTCATTGCATCACGAAGCATGAAGTACTTAGCCTCCGTGCCTAAGTTACCCAAATACTTTCATCATGGAGTCAACCATTGAGATAGCCTAGGATGGATTAATCCTTGCACCTTGAGAGATAGTATCGAATGACATTTGACTAAGCTCATTCAACATGCATCTTCAAACTTTCGATTCTTTTTCGCGTCTTTCCTTTTCGGGAGAAAGTCGGTACCCTCCACAAAATGACGGAAAATTTTTGCTTTTCTGCATTTTCGAGTCGCACGATCACATTACAATGCACACACAAGTCATGTACACACTGAGTCATGTCGTGTCATATCATTTTGATTTGAGTCTAATACATGTGTCAAACACTTCGAGTCGAGTCAACCTCGAGTCAGTCAAACATATCGAATCCAGTTTATGCCTTGAGTCGTGTTAAGTCAATGAGTCAAGCAATGCTAAACCTTAGGTCAACCCTAAGATGATTAAAAAGATTGGCAAAGTTCTATAGTCAAAAATAAATACAGGTGCAGCAGAATAGGGAAGACCCTACTCCAATTCTTGGCGCCAGAGATATTTCAGCAACGACAGAACTCGAAGCCTCTCAGAAAGGTGATTTCAACCTCATGCAGCAATTTCGGGTTCCTTGGTACGCTAGTTAGCCCCTATAAGCAATTTGACATGATTAGTAGTCGGCTCGATTACAATCGTAGTAAGTGATTGACGTGACAATAGATCGTCTCACTTAGCTTAAGCGCCTAAAACACTGGCTCATTACAATCGATTCAAAAGAAAGCACTCAAACGACAATATTTCCAAATATGGATTGTCGCGCATTCTTATTAAACGACAAAGCTTTCCAAAAATTGGATTGTCATCCCCAACTGACAATATTTCCAAAAATGGATTGTCGTGCATCTTCTTCAACGACAATTTTTCCAAGATTGGATTGTCATCTCTGGCAAAGTTTCCAAGCGTGGATTGTCGTGCTCCTTCTTTTATTGGCAAGTTTTTCCAAGTTCGGATTGTCATACGTTCATCGGCTCGTTGGCAAGTTTTTCGAGATGGGATTGTCATGCACCCAGTTCCCTATGGCAAAATTTCCCAAAGGATGGTTGTAGGTCTCTACTCATCATAAATTTCGATAAAAATTCCTCAACGTGGATTGTCATTCATTTCAGTAAGTGGCAAATTTTCCCGAAGTGGATTGTCGGTCGACTCTTTTTTGCAAGTGTTCCAAGACGCGGATTGTCAATAGTGGCAATATTTTCCCAAAAGGATTGTCGCACAACGTTGGCAAATTTCCAAGGTGGATTGCTCTTAAGAGTTATATTCCAAGATGTGGATTGTCGATCGTAGCAAAGTTCTTATGAAAGATTATTACGAAGCATTGGCAACTTTTCCAAAGATTGGATTTTGGCAAATTTTTCGAGGTACGGATTGTCGCTTCATCGTGACAACATTTCCAAGGATGGATTGTTACGTAGCATTGACAACTTTCCCTAAATCGGATTGTCATACATCATACAAGAGTTGTGTTGGCAACTATTCCCAAAGAAAAGAGGATTGTCATCACAGCAAAAGCACCGACATACTGGTTCACAAGCAGCAAAGCGCCGACGTACTGGCATAGCAAACATTAAGAAGCAGTGATCTTTTCGAAGACTATCACAGCGGGAAAAAGAAGCTCTTCGTGCAGAGACGCGTGAACATATAAAAAAGAAGCTCTTTGTTCAGAGACGAGTGAACATCGAAACAGCAAGGTGGCGTTCCCTGGATTATGGAGAGTTATCACAAACAACTGAGGATTGTTTCAAGAAAAGCAATCTTCGATAGTATTCCTTTGGACGTGGAATGTTATCAATGCGGATGAGGATTGTTTCAAGAGAAATAATCTTCGATGATGTTCCCTAGGATGTGGAATATTATCATTACGGAGAGGATAGTTTCAAGAGAAGCAATCTTCTAATTTGGAAGCAGTTATAGGCGTAGCAGTTTTCAAGCGGGATGGCATTCTCTAGCTTGCAGGAGGTCATCAAAACAACAACAGCAAAGAAAATCGGTTACTTTCAGAGACGTGTGCTCGACGGTGCAAGATACGCGTTTCTTAACTCTTTTATCTATTTAACTAATGCTAGTTTTGCAGGTACCGGCGTTATAAGATTGATTTAGGATCGCAGAACGTTCTGAATCATTCTCCGTCCCTATCGATACTTTGGCTTTCGTTTTCGAAACTTGCGTTTCTCCAAACTCAGTCAAAGTAGGGGCTTCTGTAGACACTCATTTGTGTCTCCCCAAAACCAAACCCAGTGATGAATACCTTTCACGTCGAACCATAATCAAATAAGGTGAAAGTGTGAAAAGTCTAGTGTTGCGGTTAGTTTTTGTTAAAATTCTTTCTTTCTGTTTTCGAAAACCCACTCTATTTTATGAAAACGTCCATTCCAGTTTATTTTGGTCCATGATAAGGGTCCAATAGTGGTGTATTTGGATGGGTCTTGAAAAGACCTTTCCAACGATATATTATAAGCCCAATTCCGATGAATATTGAGGAAGTTATGGCCAAAATACTAAACTGGGCCCAAACCGGATTTTACCTACGACCCAATGATCATGAGGAGGGTCCAAAGGTTTAATCCTATTCCTAAACTAATTAGAATTGATTAGAATCTTCTATAAGTTTTTAAAATATTTTAATTATCCTTTTTTGAAAAGATAAGATTAAGGAATTTGATTTAAATATAAACTTTCCTTTTTTATAAAACTTTCCTTTTTAAAAGTCCTAATTCTATTCGGATTTAAACATGTTCAAAGACAGTCAGATATTATTTTCGTGCCTCATATTTTTTATCCAAATTTTATATGGTTGGATAGATCTTGAAATTATCTTTCCAATGATATATTATAATAATAATTTCGAGCTATAACGGAAAAGATATGAATAAGATATCAAACTCTATCCAAAACTGACACCGTCTCACTATTTCGTTCATATCTTTTATTCTAAAACATATTTTAATCTGATTCTAATTGGGTTAGACAGTAGACTTCAAGATCTTTCCAATGACATCTTATTCATTTTATTCCTATTCTTGGATCAAAAGATATGATAAAAACAAAATCCGTAAAAACTGCTGTCTACGAGTTTTATTTCGATTCGAATTTGGATTCTTTTCTTAATTCTTCGACCCTCTTTTTTCCTATAAATAGAGGTCATATCTCCCCTTTTTCAATCACCAACTCTCATCAAGATTTTCTTGATTATTATTCTCTCTCTTTTCTAAACTTTGTTTTCAAATACAAAATTCCGCATTCACAAGATCTAGAAACACTTAGCCATATTCGAAGTTGCCTTCGCCCTAGACGTGAAAGGTTTTAATTTCTGAGGGTTTGGTCCCAAATCTCTCTTTTAATTATTTAGTTTAATTGTTTTGATTATTATTTTCCTTGAAGTTACTAACGTGTGTATTTTGTTATTAGAAAGAGGTACGAGACATCCGGGTAAGTACTTTAATGGTTTAATTGATATTATGATGTAGAAATCATGCTTAGATTGTTATTTTGATTCCTAGTATCATGTCTAGGGTAACTTTAATATCAAGTATGATTAAAAGTACGATGCTTCCTATATTCTTCCTAATATTAATTCATGTTAGTATCATGTTAGGGCTAAAGATTTGATTTTTATTGCTTAGTGACATGCTAGGGTTTGTTATTAATCTTGTTAGTATCATGCCTAGGATCTTGCTATGCTTTAACATGATTATGATTATTATTATTATTAATGATGTTGATTATTTATTATGTTGCTTGATATGTATTATTTTTTATTCTTTATTGCTTGATCACCTTTTTATGCATGTTTAAAGGGAATTGGTACTTGTAATCACGCTTAATAAGATAATTAATAATCTTGTTTAAGGTTAATATGATTATAATTCAAGTGATCGCCAATAATAGTTTATTTGTGCATTAAATTCAACCAACATAGACTAAACAGATTTAGGGTTAATCCTATTGATTGTATGTTAGTCAGAAAGCGCACATGAATACGAGCAGAATAAAGTAGAGGCCTATTATTAGGGCAGGTTCAATCTCTTTTAGGTTGGATTTTTACCATCATCCCCGAACCCTTATTTGGTTCATGACCTTATGGAGTTGGCGATCTCTTGGATCGTTAAGGGGTGTAACCTTCACCTCGTGAACGGTTTACAAGTTCCTTAAAAACTTGTTGGCGACTCTTTTGCTCTATCTTCTTCCCTTTTGGACGCCACCGTACTTTAGTGTATGATCACAGTGGGGTTCAAGCTAGTGGGATTTTTAAGGCTTGAAACTATTCCCTACACCTATACATTATTCTTGGTCATCTCATATTTTCTTTAAATTGTTCACATATTAAAATGGCCAAAACTACAAAGAAAAAACCTGCAACAAAACCAGATCCATCAAAGGATATTTTTGCAGCAAAGAAGGTTGCTGCAAGTAAAAAAGTTACTGCAGTCAAGAAATCTCCTGCAACCAAGAAATCTCATGCGGCCAAGGTGACTCCTAAAGCCAAGAAAGTTTCTGCAAATACAAAGCAATCTCCAATTGAAGGTATATAATATAAAGTAAATGGAGACTGTTATAAAGTAAATAGAAACAATTAGAAAGTAAATCATTTATCTGTATAAGTCTGTGTTACAAATTTAAAGATGCACACTATTACATAATTGAATATAAAAAGTAAATGCTTAGTGTAGTAACGTAAATAAAAAAGCTTATAGAGTAAATATATATGTTTTAAAAGTTTTTTAATATGTCTATACTTATAAACTGATTGTGTAAACTAAATGTAATAGGTGCTAATTAAGCTTCAAAGGATTTCAAAAAAGCAAATATTGATAAAGAGAAGAATTAAGGAACTAGAAGCATCAAAAGGTTCATAAAAGTTTATAAAATTAAATTCATATGTTATGTATTATATTGCACTAAGGTATTACACCAAGATATTACATAAAAGTTTATAAAGTAAATGAAGATTGTTATAAAGTAAGTACAAATTGTTATAAAGTAAATAGAAACTCTTCTAAAGTAAATGAAAACTGTTTTAAAGTAAATTGTTATGAAGTGGACTATTAACTATTATATGTCTATGATGTTTATTGATAACTTTAATAAAGTTAACAAAAATGCTTATAAAGTAAATATAAATGTTTTCAAAGTTGGTTAACATGTTTTAACAAATTATAGGAACAAAGAAAAAGGTAAAATCTGAAGTGAAAGATAGAAATTATGAACCAGAAGAAGATCATAATGAGGATTCTGATGGTTCATCAGAAGAAGACAGAAAAAAGGGAAAAGCTCATTTAAAGAAAAAAAAATGAAGCTTGACAATTTTGACCTTGATGTACATGAAGTTATTGATGTTAATGATGATGATGATGGTAATCTGGAAATCAAGAAAACACACTATAGACCCAATGTAGTTGTTGATTTAATCAAGGATTTTAGTGAACTGCAAAAAAAAGATGTCATAAGTATTGGTTTTGGAGGACTGCTTGAACTAAAGTTAAGAAAAATTTCAACAAAGATGCTTCCATGGCTTTGTCACCATTTCAATGAAAGCAGCTGCATGTTCAAGATTGACATGTTGAAAGAATTTTCAGTGAGTTCCTACGATGTTGAAGATATATTCTTGCTTCCACATGTAACTGAGAACAAGGTGAGTTTTCAATTAAGGAAGCAACCTCTATCAAACTTGCTGATTCAAAAAGAATGGAAGAGGAAGCTAAGAATTCCAGAAGATGATGAGATAATTGTGAATAATTTAGAGAACAAATTAAAGAGTCTAAAGGAAGTAGGGGAGGATTTAAAAGATTCTTTGTGATGTATGTTTGCAGCACATTCTTGGCCCCTGTTGCAAATAGAGTGATTGATTACAAGATAATCAATTATGCAGACAATGTAAAAGAAATACATAACCTAGATTGGTGTGGTTATGTGATGAATAACCTGTGCAAATTAGTGGGGAGCTTCAAGAACAACAACAAAAAAGGAATCAAGATCGGGAATCAGTGGATGTATCCTTATTCTTCAACTTGTCTACTTTCATCATCTAGCATTCAGAGGGCAGTCTGAACCTACAACACTGCCATTGATCCAACATTGTTCAGATGAGAAAGTCAAAGAAAGAATTGCAAAATAGGCAAAGGCATCTTTTGGTCAAGGAGAACTTCAAAAAGATGACTATCCAGTTTGTAGAAAAAAAGGAAAGCAAGCACTCTTGGGAGATGTAATTGAGAATACTTATAGAATTTTACTGATAGAGAGAGAAGATTGGTGTCATTCAACCTACCAGAAGGTGTGGTGACAGATAGTGAAATACATGAAGCTGCAAAATATGTGAGTAATTTTTTTTAGTTACAATGATTTCATTTATTTACTTTAAAATGAAATGTAGTTACTTTATCTCATATTTGTTTACTTTTATTATATTAAATTGCTCTGCTTCTATTAGTAATAATATATAGTAAATGATAAACATAAAGTAAATAATGTTGACTTAAAAGTAAACAAATTAACTTTAAAAGTAAATATTATTTGTGTTAAAAAATAATGTACTAATATATTGTTGTTATTTATTTTGAAGGAAATCGAAAAAGAACTGCATTTGTTGACTAGAGATTCACAACTCTTTGCAATGATACACGTTGAGCGTATAGCTACCTTAGGAGAAAAGATGAAAAGGCAACAAATGAATGTGTCTAATCTAATTCTCAACAGGTTTCTGAAACACAAAGGCTGATGGAAGATCCTAGAGTACAAAGGGCTATGGATGAAATAGTCAGGCTTTATGATGATCTAAGAAATGTATCTAGTGTGATTCTGTTTACATGGGAGGAGCAACATAAAACTGACATAGATCCTAAAACTTTTGAAGAAGATGCAGTTGATCCTAAAATTGTCCATTTGGATGTTGATGATGAAGATTTTGAAATAGAGGATCTGGATGATGGAAATAAAAAGAAGGATGACAAAAAAGAAGAGAATGAAAACAAAAGGCAGGAGGAGGAAGAACATGAGGAGGAGGAGAAGAAAGAAAGGGAGAAAAAGAAGAAGGATGAGGAAGAAAAGGATAAAAAGGAGGAGGAAGAAAAGGATAAAAAGAAGGAGCAGGAGGAAGAAGACGAGGAGGAGGAGGAAGAAAAATAAAAGGAACAAAAAGAAGATGATGACAAGAATGAAAAAGAGGAGGAAGAAAATAAGGAAAACAACGAACAAGAAAACCAGGGAGAGAAAGGAGAGAAGAATGGAGAGAAAGGAGAGAAAGATGCTGATAATCATGAGGTTGATGCTGATAATCAGGGAGAGAAAGATGCTGAAAACCAGGGTGTTGATGCTGATATTAGATAGGTAGTACACTCAATTACTGAGAGTATCCTAAATCAGCCAACACTTACAAAGGAAGCAATAAAAAAAACAATTGAAGGTAAGTTGTTAACTTTAGTAAATATTTAATCAATCCATAGTCAATAGTGTATCATTATATTGAAACTATATCTGCTATTTTATTACAGTTGTTGCTGAAAAACAACTTCAGGCAGAAACATCCACAAATGAGTTTAAGGACATTCACAATGAGATAGTTTCAAAAGTTAAAATCAATTTAGATTGTGGAGAGAAAGATGTTGACATTGATTTTGTTTCTAAGACAATGAAAGGAAACAAATCAAGAATGAATGAAATGCCATTGCTTTGTGAAGTACAGCCCATTCAAACAGTAAGTAATATATTATTTAATTTCAAACATATTATATATACTTTAAATTATATTTAGTTTACTTTAAATAATATTTTATTTACTATAAATATTTAATTTTGCACAGTGAAGGGATTGGGAAATTTGAAAGTCTTCTCATGATAACAAGAGATGACACAACATCCCTAGCTCCAACATCCCCTGCTCAAATGATAAAATCTAATATAGTTCAATGTTGGTCATTTCTAATGAATGATTCTCGATTGAAAGAAGATCCTTCATGCTTTTTATTTGGCATTGATCACAGTGTAAGGGTTAAAAAAACTGTTAAGCTCAATCATAATTAAACATGTATGATCTCATATAGTAATATGTTGTATGTTCTCATTAATACACAGAGACCTCTAGAGCTGTCTCTCAGGTCACAAGATGCTTCCTAGACAACAGATAAAAAAACAGAGGTGAAGTCTCCTTCAGTACACTCACAAGAATTAAATCAGGCATGGTACGATTGGATGTGCCTATGTGATGCAAAGGAGAAAATTAAGACAACTCAGTTGGTATGTCTTATTATTCATGTTTATTAAACTACATTGTATGGAACTATGATTTTGAATTTGTAAACTAATAACTGTAATTTTAATGACAGATTTTTGTTCCAATCTGTATGAGTAACCACTATAGTTTGATAATGGTTAACTTTATGAATCAGACCATTCAATACTTGGACAACAGGAAGTATGATGACAAGCACAAGCCTTTCTACAGAATTCTTGGATCTATTGTGGTAAGTTTTTTTTGGTTTATAAAAAGTAAATTATTAAAGTAAATAAAAGTACTATTAAAGTAAATGAAAATGTATTAAAAGTATAGATTATAATGACAGTTAAAAAATAAGATAAAATATAAAGTAAAAGATGATCTGATTAAAGTAAATAATATTTTTATTAAAGTAAAAGAATATCTATTAAAAATACGCATTATATTACCTATAAAAATATAATATAAAATATAAAGTAAAAGATGTTCTGATTAAAGTAAATCATATGTTTATTAAAGTACTTTATACTATAAATTTGTTTTACTTATATATTACTTTACAAATGTTAAAGGTGGAGGAAATCTCAAACTTTCTGAAGAGAATTAATCATGAAAAGGCTGATGAAATTCTTGAATATGAGTTTGATGAAGTTAACTTCAAGTGGAAGACACCAAGATATACTCTTGATTGTGGTGTTTTTGCAATGATCCATATGCTGTGTTTTTCAGGAGAGACTTTTGATTCTGACCTTGATTTAGCAAATAGGAGAAAGGTGTATCGTGAAGAAATATGTGCTACTCTTGCTTTGGCAGACATATATAAACACCAAAAGAAAACAACTTCAGAGAAAAATTTCAAGGTTCAGGGTAGTTAGAAAACTAGAGAAGGAGAAAGGGGTAGAAGATATGATTTGTGTTTCTGATTTCTTGAAGAAACACAAGGAAGTAATGGATAACATGAGTTTGTAATGTTACCGAGTGATTGACTACTTAGCAATCAATGATGGTGAAAACTTTCCAAACAAGAGGTATGTTTTAGACTTCCTAAAAAAACAAATAATCATATTGCATTATATATAATATTGTTTGACATAAGTTTAACTTTAACTTTAACTTTAACTCTACATTACAGCGAAGTAGTAAGCTGGTTTATAGATTCAATTGAAATAGTAAGGCAAGATTGTAACGCTTTGCTCAACAAATGGAAAGTTTCAAGTAATGTGATCACTGCTTGGTCAAACCACCTGAATAATATTGAAATGGAAAAAGATAGGTCTGAAAATGACTTGGTTAGATAATTTTTTGGATCTGACTTCATGGTAAGTTTTTCAAATTAACTTTTATAGTTTAGAATTCTGCATTAAATAAATATTAGAAATAATAATTGAATTTTTTTTTTTGGAAGGATGCTTTAACAATGTGTTTGAAAGCTCATGGAAAAAAGGGAGTAACAAGTCTGCAAAAACTATGGATTGATTGGAACACTTCACAATCATTAGACTTGGATGCAGCTCAATGTGTAAGATAGAATTAATATTAAAGTAGAACAATATATGTTTAAAGTAATTAAAAACAGGTTTAAAGTAAATATGTTTAAAACAAATCTATATGCAGGTATATATACCTTTGATGTTAGAAGATCATTACTTTCTTGCTGTGATAAACTTCAAAGATGAAACAATTGATCATCTGGACAACACTTTGCATGAGACAAATGAAGGATTTGAGCTTGTACAGAGTTTTATCTTAGAAACGGTAAAGAATCAATAGGTTAAAAATTATCTTTAAATTCATTTTTCAATATCTTTTATTATACTAATATTCATTGCATTCAGGTGATACAAGTACAAAAGTTGTTTAAAAAAAGGAAGCATCCACAGGCAAATGATATGTTGACCTACAAGTTGAGAATAATTGAACTTCCATTCCAAAAAGAAAGAGAAGATAATTTCTCAGCAAGCTATCTACTGTTGCATATGAAGGTTTATGATGGTGAAAATGGCATAGGATTAGGAACAATAATAGAGGTAAGTTACCATACTTATTTTTGAAGTCGTTACACTCTAGAACTAATCTATACTTAGAGTATAATTTATTTATAATTTATTTTTTAACAGAAATTTGCAAGACTGAATCACCATCATATAAGAAAAGTACTTGATCTACTTCTCAATGAAAGAGATCAAATGAAACAGAAACTGCTAACAAATGTTGAGGATTGGGAAGAAAAGAAAGAATCAGAACAATTGTATATGATATCAGTAGACTTGAATATATCATAGATATTAGAGTAATTGAACTTGTGTAGTATTAATGCAAAACTTTTGTTAAGTAGTGGCTGAAGATAAGTTACTGGTGCAGCTTCAAGTTCTGCAACTTCTAGTTCTGCTGCTGTAGCTTCTACTTCTGGCGGCTGCAGCTTCAAACAGTGCTACTAATGCTACAGTAGCTAATGATATGTCTCTGTAGTTATATGTGCTTTTTTGTGATGGATGAAAAGAGCTTTTGGGTTAGTGCAGGTTTAGGGAAATGAATTTCAGGGACTGTTGTATAGCAATTTGGTAGTTCTAGTATAACATTAGGCTTTATTTTGGTTAGCATCAATTATAAATGTAAAAATTATGTGATGCTATTTGTAATTAAAATATGGCTTTAGCCACTTAATATAATATTTCCAGTTTGTGTTAAAAAAAAGAATACATATTATATATCTAAGTTAAATGAATCAAAAGTAGAGGTGGAGATGGGAAAAAGTATTAAAGTCAAAAAAATATTATTCAATTATAAGTAAAAGAAAATAATGTTAAAGTAAATAATACTATGTTTAAAATAAAAGGAAAAGGAAAAATACACTTTAATAATCCCAACTATGGGTGATTTACCTACAATAATCCCAACTAACGTTTATTCTACAATAATCCCAACTATTAGGTCAGTTTTCCTCCAGCAGTCCCAAACCAGTCAACAAAAGCCAACAACCTATTATTGTAGATTGTTTGACACGTGTCATCGTGTGAGTGGTTCCCAAAAAAAATACAAAAAAAAAATCTAGCAGCCAACCCTAACCACCACCTCCTGTCGCCCCACCACCACCTCCAGCCCTAACCACGACCAACCGCACCCCCGGAACACCACGACCAGCCGCACCCCCAAAACACCACAACCAGCCGCACCCTCGAAACACCACGACTGGCCGCACCCCCGAAACACCACCTAAATCGCACCAGCAGCACCCACGACCAGCCGCCCTTGCTCGTGAAACCACCAGCAGTCCAGCAGCCCCAAATCGCCCCGAAACCCTAACCCGTGAACTGATTGGAGCTTGAATCCACGACGCCTCGCCGGAAACCACTCGGATTTGGGAGTGAAGGGGTGGTTGGTGGGGCGGGTTTGCGATTTTGGGTGACCGGTGGTTTTTGAGGTTGGAGGAGGAAGAAGGAAGGGGAGCGATAGAGGCATGGAGCGGCAGTGTGAGGCTACGATTGGTCGGAAGTGGCAGGCGACGGTGGGCGGTGGCGGAGCTGTGATGTTGAGAGAAGAATTGGGGTGGAGCTGCCATGTTTCGTGGTGGGTGTAAGGTGGTTGAAGGGAGGAAGGGGTGGCTGGGATTATTTTTGCTATTTTTTTCTTTTTAATTTTTTTTTTAAATTAAGCCAATCATGTGCTGACATGTGGCATTTAAAAAACCAAAAAAAAAAAGTTTACCATTTCAGCAGGTAACCGGTTTTTGGGACTACTGGAGGAAAATTGACCCAATAGTAGGGATTATTGTAGAATAAACGTTAGTTGGGATTATTGTAGGTAAATCGTCCATAGTTGGGATTATTAAAGTGTAATTTTCCAAAGGAAAAAAGTTTTTTTAAAAAAAACTTTATGAAATAAGGTGTTCAATTTTAAAGTACAAAAAATTTTGTTAAATTAATAGAAAATGGATATAAAGTAAAGGGAGAAATGGGAAAAAGTATTCAAGTCAAAATCGTTGACCCAACCCGAATGACTCGACGCATGACCCAAAATTAACCCAAAATCATTAACCTGAAAAATGACCAATACCCGAAAGTAACCCAACCCAACCCATACCCGACTCGAAAATGGAGTTGACCTAATGTTGACCAATCAAACACCCAACTCACCTGACCCGAAGTTGACCAACTCGAATTTGACCCAGAGAGTTTGCCCGAAGTGTTTAACCAACCCGAACATGATCCGAAGTGTTTGACCTGAAGTGTTCTACCAGCTCGAATGTGATCATACACCAAACTGAGGATGGTTCAAGTCTCCTACTTCATTTGCCTCACTAACATCTGGCCTATGTTGATCGAATTACAATCGGCCTTACATCTTATTAGATTTGGTACAAGTTTAGGTGAGTTTAATAACCGGTCAAATTACATTCAAGTAAAGTCAATAATTAATGGTTAGAAAATCAACTCATTCTAGAATTTTAGTCAAATTTGGTTCAAGTCAATAATTTTACGGGTTATAATCAAGTTGAAATCACCAAGTCAATAATATATGGGTTACATTTGGGTCGGGTCATTTACACGTTAATTCATGTTCAAAATCGGTATCTAATTTGGTACAAGTTTATGTGAGTTTAATAACTAGTCAAATTACATTCAACTAAAGTCAATAATTAATGGTTAGAAAATTAACTCATTCTAGAATTTTAGTCAAATTTAGTTCAAGTCAATAATTTTACGGGTTATAATCAAGTTGAAATCACCAAGTCAATAGTATATGGGTTACATTTAGGTTAAGTCATTTACACGTCAATTCATGTTCAAAATCGGTATCAAATACTCTTGTCAACTCAAGTTCCATGAAAAATGTGACAAGTATTTTAGAACATAAAATGGATATGATAACAAGTATTCTAGGACAAAGGGAATAATACAATAAATTATCTTTTATTTTGTAAGTAAGAACATTATATAAATCAAATAATTCATATGATATAAAATATGATAAAAGTAAATGAAATATTTCATAAAGTTAAAGTATAATAGCTAAAAGTAAAAAAACTAAACTTAAGTTCTGTAGTACAATTACTTATAGTAAATGTAAAATATTACAATAATAAAAATAATAAAAAAATATTTGTTCATTAAATCTTGATCTTCCAAAACATCTTGTAATTTCCAAGTATTAAAATAACTGCACAAAAATAAACATCAGTTATTTGTCACAAATTATATTAAAGTAAATAAATTAGAATGTAAAGTAAATAAATTACAACTTAAAGTAAATAGAAAACGTAAAGAGGTAAAATACTAAATAAAAAAAATACCAAGTATAATAACCCCTGCACAAAATAAAAAGTAAATGAAGTTACTGTTAAAGTAAATAAATAGAAGTTTTAAGTAAATGGAACACACTTAAAAGTAAAAATACCTTAAAGACTACTTGTTTGGACATTTTCTACTATCATGGGAAACACCAGATTGCCCACAAGCTCTACAAGTTCTGCCTTTTTTAGATTTTTCTTCACTAGCTATTTCTTTTGCACTCTTCAACCTCTTTGAACTTCTGGCAGAACCTTTATTAAGACACTGATTTGGAGGCAAGACATTTACATCAACTTCATTTGACCCAACCAAAACCTGAATATCAACATCTTTCACCTCTTTTGAACTAAGTGCATTTTCAGGATTATTCTTTGATATCATCTGCTCCTCAAATGGGGATAATGTCCTAATAAGCTTAGATAAATCATCCTCATATTGGTCAGTTAAACTCACACAACTGAAAATCTTGGACCATACATCACTGACCAATTGCTTCTTCTTATCATACTTAGAAGCATCATCCAGAGCAACATCTATGGCAAAAGCTTTCTTCAAAACATCTTTTCTCCGACGATTCAAGATATAAGCATTAGAAATTTCACGTATACACTTGCCTTTCATAACAAACAAAATGTGTCTACATAAAACACCTTGACTCTCAAACATTCTACAAGTACAACTTGACTCATATGTTGCCAAGTCAAAATTTACATCAAAATTTTTCCTTTTCTCATGATCAACAATAACAAAAAACTCCACACCATCTCCATACAGAGAACTACAACTTTCAACACCACACGAAAAACAGGGTCCCTGGCCTTGAAAATCATAAAATATGGAACGAGTATAAACAACAGCAGCATGCTTTTCCTAGTGTAAATTAGTAACCAATTAAGGCTCAAGTTTATTAAGCCTATACAACTCATCCTGTTCATGCCTTTGAGCATCAAGAGCAGTTTCATAACGGACAAAGAATTCAACACAGGTCACATGAGGGTTTGTAAAATTACAAAAGAAAATGTTTTCACCTCAGACCTAGATGTAGAACGCAGTAACCCACCCATAAATAAGTCCCTAAAATATGCAGGAATCCAAAGATGTTTAATCTTGAACATGTATGAAAACCACTCATGATCAACAAGGTTAAACTCCTCCATAACACTATTCCAGCCATCAACAAATACATGAGGATCAATCTCTCTATCCCAAACTACTGCACTTAGCTTTTTCAGGAAATCAGTTTCATTACAAAAAGCAGTTCCAACCATTTCAGGTACCTTCCTCATTATGTGCCACATACATAGCCTATGTTTAGTCTTGGTAAAAACCTTTTATATGGCATTACCCATTGCAGGATCTTGATCAGTGATAATACAAGAGGGTTCTCTTCCCATACACTTCAAAAAAGTTTGAAATAGCCACACAAAAGAATCTATGTCTTCTTTAGATAATAGAGCAGCACAAAATGTAACACATCTCTTGTGATTATCAACACCAGTAAAAGGACAGAAAACCAATGAATATTTATTTGTATCATAGGTAGAATCAAAAGATAAAGAGTCCCCAAATAATTGATAATCTCTTCTACCAATAGCATCAGCCCAAAAGACACGGGTCAAATGCCTACTTTCATCAACACAGTAATCAAAATAATAACCCCCTTTACTGGTTTTCACTTTTTGTTCAAGGTTCTGAACAAACAATGCACCATCAGCATTAGAGATATAAACTTTCAAGTCCTTAGAAAAATTTTTGAAATCATTTTTACTGCCCCTGACATTTTGAAACCCACCACAAAATTCTTTCATGATCCTATAAGACATAACAGCCCCTATATTTAACTTTGAATTGTCCAAAATAAACCTCTTATGAGCAAAATTTAAACCAACTTCATGTTTAGTAACCTGCCTAGTAATAGGTGTAGAAAAAGGGTGAGAATGAGATTCATAAAAACAATACACCATATACTTCCCACCAGTACAAAACCTAAATTTTATCTTAGCAGGACAACCAACTCTCTTCACAGTCTTTCTCTTTAAACAAGCACCTTCAACTTGTTTACCAGATTTCTTGTTATTTGTCACATACCCTTCTTTGCTACATAATAAATATTTAATTATAGTAACTCCTTTACCAGTAGGATCATTCTTATTCTTTTGTGATTTAGTAGTACTAAACCGGACTTTAAATCCACACTCATTAGCATATTTGTAATAAAAGGCAATACCATCTTGAAGGGTATCAAATATCATTCCAACAAAAGGTTTGTTTTCAGAAGAACAACATGGCATATACTCTTTATCACCTCCAGAATTATAATATATTTTAGGAAGCAAAGGCTGAGTGGGTGTTTTAAAAATTCTTACATTGTTATCTTCAGTAGTGACAGAAGAAGAACAATGCTCTATGCTTTCAGACATGTTCCTGAAAAGTAAATGAATAGAAGGAAAAAGTAAATAAAGAATAAATAAAAGTAAATTAACTATAACTAAAAGTAAATAATATTTTAAAAAATATGCTCTACGCTTTTAGACATGTTCCTGAAAAGTAAATGAATAGAAGGAAAAAGTAAATAAACAGTAAAAAAAACTATAACTAAAAGTAAACAATATTTTTAAAAAAATATACTAATAAAAACTATTAGAGATATACTAAAAAGTAGATGCCTCAAAGCATAAAGTAAATAAAAAAAATAAAAAATTTGAAGAAACTAAAAAACATGAAATTATAAGAATTAAGTAAAACTAATAATGAAAAGTTAATGACTGAAAGCAAAAAGTAAATTTAAAACAACAACAAATTATACTACTAAATTAATAACAGCAAGCAATATACCAACTATATGCAGAAAACAACTACATTGAATCCGTAAGTGTAAAACCATAAAATAGGAATTAAAAACCAATATCGTAAAAATAAAACCCAAAATCAAACACTAAATTGTATAGAATAATTCAAAGAACAATTAATAAGCAAAAATTAAGAAAAATTACAATAAAAAACCCTAAATCGAAAAACTCATCTCAAAATAAACAAACAAAATACAAATATAATTACAAAATTACCTCAATGAATGAAAAAAATTGAAGAATACAATGTAATTGAAGATCAAAATCAAAAAATCTGAGCAAAAAATTCGCTAAATCGAAGAACTCAGTAGCGGCGGAGAGCTTGATGTTAGAGAGAGAAAATGAGGACGCGAAGAGAGAAAATGAAAGGAAGAGAGAGAGAAAGAAAGAAGGTCATTCAAAGTGGCAAAATTACCAAAATGCCACTACTGAAATGAAAAACGCGGGTGGGATGTCAGCCATTGGATCAAGGACGATCAACGCACCAGATTAGTTCCTAGTTCCTATTCTATGCTTAGGTTCTCACATGATCCCTTGAAGATATAAAAGTTTTGAATTTGGCACATAATAAATTATCTGAAGAGTTACCAGATTTAGTATGTTCAATGAAAAATTTGTTGAATTTGAGTATTGAGTATAATTTCTTTTCTGGGTATAGTTCAAAATGTTCAAATTTGTTCATGGGAAGTATTGGGTTTGATTTTTCATTGAATTGTATACCTGGAAAAATGATGCAGAGGCCTCCACCAAGGTGTTATATATGGAATTCCTGGAGTGTGAGGGCTGCCACAGCTGCTGGCCCTGCCAAGGCTGCTTCCATAGCTACCGGCCCTGCCTAGGCTGCTGCTGTCCCTGCCATGGCTTGCTGCTGCCTTGCCATGGCTTGCTGTTGCTATGCCATTTCTGCTCTGCTGCCTGTTGTTGCTATGCTACTTCTGCTCTACTGCTGTACATGTTACTCGGGAGTTCTTAGAGTAGAGCAAAACGGGAAGCTGCTTTGAGCAAGAGTGCAGCCTATGCACCTAAGAAGCCTGTGATGAGAAGCAGCAGAAGCAATATTATTTATTTACTTTAATGATGTTTTAATTTACTTTTTAGTCTTTTTTATTTACTTTTGAGGTATATTGATTTACTTTTACTTCCAATGTATAATATATACTAGCTTATTAGCTCAATAGGTAGAGCATTGTGCAAGTGCACAAAAGATGTGGGTTCGAATCCCACTTAGGTTTATTCCTTTTTTTTTTAATTTTTTTGTATCTACCCTACTTTTGAGAATTTTTTATTTACTTTTAGAATATATCCATTTACTTTTTACTATTTTATATTTACTTTTGAGATATATTAGAGGATGACTTGAAAGTATGATGTAAAAGGTCATGTGTAACAAGTTTCTCTTACTCTTTCTTCCTATAAAATACTATGTAATGGTACTTTGGAAAAGTCGATTCATATTGGTTCTATATCCTGTGTTTGAATTTTGATTTTTTTAAAGCAAATTTTATTTACTTAAGACATAATTTGCTCTGCTTTTGATTACTTTAGATATATTTGGAGGTAGAAATAGAGTTGAAGTTGAGTTCTTAGCCAATCTTGAAAAAATATGACAACATTTTTAAAGTTTTTCTATGTAATGATAGTCGAGGCCTCCAAACCCAATTAATTGTATGTGTATCTTAGAGCTAATTTTATTTACTTTTTTAGTTATTTTGATATACTTTTGAGGTGTTTTGAATAACTTTAGAATGTTTTGTATTTACTTTTAGAGGTAACCTATGTAGGAATTGAACCTACACCTCTATGCATCCGCATAGTGCTCTACCACTTGAGCTAATAGGTTTACTTTAAAGTCCTTTTTATTCACTTTATATTCTTTTTTATTTACTTTTAGAGACAACAAATGAATTTCTCATTATGAGTTTTTTTTTTTTTTTGGTTGACAGAAAGCTTACAGAATGCTAGCAGAATCTATCATAACAGCATGCATTACATAGGGAGAAGCCTTCCCAATCCACACTCTCATCTCCCATACTCTCTACTAGCATGAGCAAGTTTATGGGCAGCAAGAAGCCAATAACATTACCATATCTACTTACTAAAGAGAAATAGATATGATTACAAAGACTAGCCCTGGCAATGTACCCAAAACCAGAAACTTCCATAAGAAAATAGTATAGTTGTTAGTTTCAAGGATAACATTGCTACAGCTAGCTTCCATAGCAATTGTTAAGGCATGTCTAGCTACAAACGCTTCCGCAACCTCAACCTCAACCTCAAAGCTACCTTTCATCAAACAACAACAGCCATAATGTCACCCTCACTGTCACGCACAATACCTCCAACACAACATCATTAGTATTGATTGAAATAATCATTGGTGAATTGAAATGGTTACAATAGTTAAACAGTTCCATAATTACACACAACTGCAAGGAACAAAACAATTTAACCACAGTGCAGGCAAACTTAAAAAGCTTATGTGAAAGTGCCATCGATAGCAACAAACAGAGAGGTGCAAATGCAAAATAGAAATATAACTCACCGATTGCCACTTTATCACGTTTACCAAGCTGTTGCAAAACATCAATTTCAATCATTGCTGCCAAAAATATTTGAAGTTATTATCATTGAAACAACAAAATTAGTATTGATTTTATAGAAGCCAAAGTCAGAGAGGTCCCAAGTCTTGCAAGTACTAGCAGCTGAGGTGCAGCAACCACATTAGCTTTTTCATATTCACCAACCAAATTCATAGCCCTATTGATCACATCCTCAACTTTCAAACCAAAATCCTTTAGCACTAATTAGCACAAATTTTCTATTTACTTTTGAGACTAATTGTTTTACTTTTACTAATTTTCTAATTACTTTTAAACATAACAAGAAGCTTTAACAATTCATATTCACTCAGTTTGTAAGCAAGAGATTTGAATAATTCTCACCAAAATTACAAACTTTAAAATTGATTAAAGGAAGACATTGATTGTTGCAACTACCCTTTGATCCCTGCCAGCTTACTTGAGATCTTGTAAGTTATAATAATAAAACAACCAATCTGGTATGTTCTTTAACAACCAATAATATACTGTCTAAGCTAAAAAAAAAATTGTGTTAGCAAGCTGATCAGGTAGAGGGCCAATGAGATGATTGTTAGGCAGTTGCAAAGATGTTAGTCTGAAATTGTCAAAACTTGAAGGACTTTGACCAAAAATCCGGTTATTATAGAACAAGATAGCCCATAGTTGATGGCAGCTTTCCTGTAATCGTACGGTTCTCTAACATTATGATAATTTTAGTTTTTTTATTTACTTTAAAATATAATTCATTTGCTTCTACTTAATTTCTATCTAAATTTGAAATTGATAAAATAATAGGATTCATTGGGGAATTTAATCAAACAGTTAGTGTGCATCAAAATTTATGCACAAATTAGTGAAATTAAAGTACCAAAATTGACAAAATCAATCGATATAACCATTCATAACCTCATAAATTATAAATTAAAGTTTGAATTTTACTATAAAGAACCCTAAATTGACTAACTCATAGATAGTGAAATTGAATTTGTTAATTTTAAAAAAAAAAAAAAAAAAAAAAAAAAAAAAAAAAAAAAAAAAAACATCGATCTTACCTCAGAAGCTGCTTCAATGGAGAAGAGTAAGCTCGAAAATCGCTTCTATGGAGAAGCGAAAGCTCGCAAGTTGCTTTAATGAAGAATTTAGAGAAGTGAGAACACTAGCTTCAATGGAGGAGATCAGGAGAGAGATTAATCAGAGGAGTGAGTGTGGAGAGCGTGATAAGAAATTCTAAAATAATCTGATCCGCCCATTCTTTTTTTATTCCACGGTTGTGATTAGTTCCTAGTTCCTAATTCCTATTAAGGATTGGTTCTCATTATAACCTGATCCTATATATATATATATATATATATATATATATATAGGGGAGGGATCCGGTAAGATTCCTCTTTTATATAAGAACAAATCTTATATAATAACTAATTTCAACCGTCAGATTAGATTAATTTGAATGGATCTTGTTTAGGGTAATTCTACCCTGCCACGTGGCCCAATCAGAAGGTGACACGTGTCAGCCCCAGATTGGTCTAAAATGGACCAATCCCTGCTCGACACGTGACATTCCCGAAATCAAGGGAAAAGGCGGCCTTCAGGCCCAAATCCCGAGAATGCCGCCAAACGGCGCAGCCCACCAATGATTAGGGTTCAGTAACCTAATCAGGGGCACAATTCCCAAAGACCCTATAAATAGGGAGATGTCCCTCATTTTGAGGACACGTTTTTTACCATTTATTACACATTTTACTCTTTGATAGAGACATCCTGAGCTTGGAATCCGAGCGGATTCCCACCTAAATTTCCGCACCTTTTCCTCCCTTCAAGTTTCTAACTTGTGCGTCGGAGGCGGAGCACCACCCAACTGGTGTCTCCGTTTGTTTTGCAGGTACAGCTCACCCAGGATCAGTCTTCGTGTTGTAACTCTCCCGAGGGACAAAAACACCCAAAACATTTGGCGCCGTCTGTGGGGAGAGTACCTCGAAGATGGTTCAAGAGTCTGTACCACCCCCTAACCGGGAGATCATCAACCGGAAGAGAAATCAATCGCTGTCTGAGTCGGCTTCAACGTCGAACTTTCCAGACAGCTTCAACAATATTTCTGCAGGGAGTGCGCCCTCCTTGCATGGGAGTCAGACAGGCGGTAATACCGTCCATTCTGGCCCTCATATGATTGGAAATGTACCGTATGTGCCTACTCAGGCTTACGGACAGTATCCTCCTCACTTCATGCAGCCGACCTACTTTGGGGGTCAGGCGGCATATCCAAATGTCCAGCCATTGGACTAGCAGCTTCGTCTGCTGCGCCTGGGTGAACAACCTTCTGCGTTCACTCGGGAGATAGCCGAGGCGGCACAGCCGACCAAGGTTAAGAATGTGTTGGTTGGTACCTATGATGGTACCACCAATCCGGAGGATCACCTCATGGCTTACACCAACCTCATGTATCTGCAGGGGTTGGATGATGCCACTTGGTGTCGATGCTTCCCGGCTACATTGAAGGGCATTGCCCAACAATGGTTTGACAATCTGCCAGCCGGGTCCATAGATAGCTTCAGGAAGCTTGCCTTCTTGATTGCTTCCAACTTCTCAATGAACATCCCTGCTAAGAAAACAAGCCTTGATTTGAGCACCGTTAAGCAGGGAGAGAGAGAAGGGTTACGCTCATATGTCAGGCGGTTCAACCTGATCAGAATTCAGATTCAGGGGCTGTCTGATGAGGTAGCCTTTACAGACTTTTTTAAAGGTCTGAGAGACGGGTCGACCTTTAAGTTCAACCTAGTCAGAAAAGGGGCTTTCACCCTACAGGCGGCCCTGAGGGAGGCGGAAAGCTACATTCAAGCTACCGACCTCTGCTCGCCTGGTAGCCAGTCAGACTCCAAGAAGTCTGACAAACAGAAAGACAGCCGGTCAGCTCAGCCGGCTAAAAACAAAGAAGAGAGCAAGAAAAGAAAAGAAGTCTGGGCGGTTACTGACTCTGACCAGCCGTCCCAGAAGAAAAAGAAATAATTTAAACCGTACGTCCCCAAGTACGAGTTTAATAAAGACTGCAACTCCATCTTCATAGAGGTAAAGGACCGGTTGTCCATTGAGAAGCCAAATCCTATGAAGAGTTCTGTTCAGACACGGAATAAGAATAAATTCTGTCAGTTCCATGAGGAGGTCGGCCATGACACCAACAACTGCTTCAGTCTTCAGCGTACGTTGGACCGTCTGGCTGACAAAGGGCTGTTGAAGTCCTACATTTCTAAGTCCCCAGCCGGGGCAAAAAATAAAAATAAGGGTCAGTCCTCCAAGACTACCCCCCAGCCTACTAGTAGCTCGGATACCGATAAGGAGCCGGTCTATAAAGATGATGATGAACAGGCGGAAGCCAGCTCCTCCTTCCCAGACGTCTTGATCACTGAGAAGGATAGGGGCAGCGTTCGCCGCCCGCATGATGACCCGGTGGTCATTGAATGTAAGGTTGCCAATCAGCTGGTTGGACGGATCCTTATAGACACCGGCAGCTCATCAGACATCATCAGTCTCCGGTGCCTGCAAAAGCTTAAATACAACGTCAGCAACATGCATCCGGTCACTCACCCCTTGGTAAGTTTTGGGGGTGGGATGGTCTACCCAGCCGGGAGAATTGACTTACCCATCCGGCTGGGAGAGAAAGGCCAGGGACGACATATTGTCGTCAGATTCTTGGTCGTTGAGGAGTTGACCGCCTATAACATCATTCTTGGCAGGCCAACCCTCAACGTAGCCAAGGCAGTAATCATCCCTTCCCTCATGCTCATCAAGTATGAGAGGGATGACGGCTCTGTTGGTTCCTTGAATGGGGATCAGAAGACGACCCGAGAATGTTATCTCTCAGCCGTCCGAGATACCGTGGCCCTAGGCGGTCAGGAACCAATAGACCTTAACAACGTCAAGGATGCCGACCCAGCTCCTGCCCCATCAGCAGCCGGAAGAAAAGAAAGGCTCCTCTGCTGGTGGAGGTGAAAAAAGAGAAAAAATAGCAATCACTGACCGGTGAACGGTCAGATGAGCTCCGTCCCCAACCGGCTGGCGAAAGCATTGATCTCGTACTGGACGACAGCCGTCCAGAACGCACTGTTAAGGTTGGGATGGTTGCTCATGCTACCTTGGGTGCAAGCTTGCACCTTCTGCTGAAAGAATTCAAAGACATGTTTGCCTTTGAAGTGGAAGAGATGCCAGGCGTCAGCCCGGATCTTGCTGTCCACAAACTCGCCGTGGACCCCAAAAAGAAACCCATCTGGCAAAAGAAAAGAAACCACGGCGAGGAAAGAAGTCAGGTGGCAGCTGCCAAAGTCAAAAAGCTGCTAGACGCTAGGTTCATTCGGCCTTGTAATTTCCCCGACTGGGTGGCCAATGTGGTCCTTGTGAAGAAACCGAATGGAACTTGGCGCATGTGTGTTGATTACACAGACCTCAACAAGGCGTGTCCAAAGGACAGTTATCCGCTTCCAAAGATCGACAGTCTGGTCGATTCTACAGCCGGTCACGCCTTGATGAGCTTTATGGATGCCTACTCCGGCTTCCATCAGATACCCCTGTGGAAGAAAGATCAAGAGAAGACGGCCTTCGTCACTGATCAGGGGCTATTCTGTTATACTGTGATGCCGTTTGGCTTGAAAAATGCGCCTGCCACTTTCCAACGGATGATTAATACGGTCTTCATTAATCAGATTGGGAGGAATGTGGAGGCGTACATTGATGACATGATAGTCAAATCGAAGCTACAGACGGATCACCTTGCTGATCTCCGAGAAACATTCACCACCCTCAGGCGGCATAAGGTTATGTTAAATCCTAAGAAATGAGTCTTTGGTGTTGAGTCTGGGAAGTTTCTCGGATTCTTGATTGATCAAAGGGGGATAGAGGCTAACCTCGAAAAGATACAGGCGGTGATTGACATGAAGTCACCCCGCTCTGTTAAGGAAGTTCAAAGACTCACCGGTTTTCTGGACGCCTTGGGGAGGTTCCTCAGCCGGTCAGGTGACAAATGCCTCTACTTCTTCCAAGCAATCAGGAAGAAGACCAGATTTGAATGGGGGGATGATGTTGAGGCGGCGTTCCAGAGGTTGAAAGAGCATTTACATTCTCTGCCTAGGTTGGTCAGTCCTTTGCCTAGGGAGACGTTGTACATGTATTTCGCCGTCTTAGACCATGCCCTCAGTGCCGTTCTCCTTGCTGAGCGAGACGGCATGCAGCTCCCGGTTTACTTCATTAGCCATGTTCTTAAAAATGCTGAACTCCGGTACCCCATGGTTGAAAAATTTGGCCTCGCTTTGTATATGGCATTCAAAAAATTGAAGCCTTACTTTTTGGCACATCCGGTGGTGATTTACACGGACCAGCCACTCAAGCGGCCAATGTCTACCTTGGACTCATCCGGGAGAATGTTGAAATGGGCTATTGAAATGCAGAGCCTTGAAATCACTTACGAACCCAGAAAGGCAGTGAAAGGTCAGGCGTTTGCCGACTTCATTGTGGAAATGACTCGTCCGGTGGCTCCGGATAATCTTGATCAGGTTTGGAAAGTGTACGTAGACGGGAGCTCTACAAAGAACGGATGTGGTGCATGCGTAATTTATGAGTCTCCTGAAGGAGACAGATTTGAATATGCACTACGCTTCAAGTTTCAGGCCCCTAACAATGAAGCGGAATATGAAGCCCTGCTAGCCGGCATACGCATGTGTAAGGCGGCAGGGGCCATGAAAACTGACGCCTACTCTGATTCTCAATTGGTTGTTAGCCAGTATGAGGGAAGTTATGAGGCTACCCATCCGGCTATGATTAAATATCTTCAGGAAGTCAAAGAAGAGACCAAGGCACTTGAGGAATTCCGGCTGAATCAGGTGCCTAGGTCGGAAAACAACCAGGCGGATGCATTGTCAAAGCTGGCATCTTCCGCCTGCCATGATACGCCTCGGTCAGTCTTCTGGGAAGTTCTTGAAAAGAGAAGCATCTATGAGGATCCCGTTGGAATTCTGGACCGAAGATCTACCTGGATGGATGGCATCCGGGCCTATCTCTCAGACGGCACACTTCCTGATTCGCCACATGAAGCAGCCGTCCTGAAAAAGCGAGCTGCAAGATTCAAGTTGAAAAATGGAGAACTCTTCAAGGCGGGGTTTCTGAAGCCTTTGTTGAAGTGTGTCACCCCAGAAAAGGGGAAAGAAGTTCTCGAAGACTTACACTCGGGATTCTGCGCCTCTCACATAGGCGGCAGGTCCCTAGCCGTCAGAGCCAGACGACATTACTTTTG